ATTTAACTAAATTAACTAAAAACCAAATCTAAGGAGACTAGATAAAATTTTGGAAAGTTATTATATAATCAAACTCCATTTCCCCTTGCAATGAGATCATAATCAGTGTAGCAATTGAATGTTTAAATGTTAAAATGTGGTTTTGTGCTTGTACAGAACGTCAGCTAGCCTAAAGTTTGTTCGAGCTAGTGTAGTAGTGCTGAGTAGATTCTTGCCTCTCACTTCCAATTGCCTCCCCCTCCAGATTACCCACTGTGCCCTCTCTATAGGACCTACTAAAGACCCTTAGATCCAAACTCCAAATCGAAATGATAAGAATATAGCCTGTCGCCCTAGAAACATCACTTCTATGCCCAATAAAATTATCTGTATCTATTTTTGCTAACCACTGAACTAAGCACCACACTCCCAACCTAAAAGTCAACGTGGCATTCACAAGTTGAGTGCAATCATAGCCCCACCGGGTCATTATGTTTCACAACAAATATTAACCTCACAAGTGATTAGTGTGCAAAGTAAATTAAGAACTGATGAAAATACCATCACAATTTTGGAATACAAGACATCTTCAAACCATTTTAATCTCACACATGATTAAATCTCATCACAAAGAAAAATAATAAGGAAAACTACTCACTAAGCATGAATAAAATAAGAAAGAAAATTTTGTTAAAGTTAAATAAAATTCACTAGAAAAGTGTTCACAACAATTAAAGATAACGAAGAACACAATACTTAGCTTTTTCCTCTAAAAAAATGAAAATCTTTCCAACAACGTCTCTTGTTGATATAAACAAAGTTCCTATAATTCCTTTCAGATATCTCTCCAAATCCCTCACCAATCTCTTAAACAAAAGGTAGAAATCCACAATCCTACTCCTATATATGACCTCTGGACGTTCCTGGAAGTTTCAAGAGTTTGAAAAGCCAAAAGGTGTCTTCCCAAGTGCCAAAAGGTGGTTTTTAACTCCAAAAATCTAGCAAAAACCATCCGTCGCCGTTTTCGGCGCCTCAGAGTTGACTCGGGCCCCTAGGCACCATTTTTTTTTTGCATTTCGCATGTTGCATTTTGCTCCGATTTTGCTCCAACAAAATGCGCCAAATTAGAATTTAGTTACTTGCTCAATTTGACTCCAAATTTCACCTTTTTTGCTCTATTTTCTCTAAAAGTCCATTTTTCATCTCTGTAACAAAAAATATACAAAATATCTTTCTTTAAAGTGCAATAAAATTAAATATCATTAAAAAATAGCATGAAATATATATAAAAAAGTTAGTAATTTTTAGGCGTGTCAATATCTCGTGGTATGAGGAGTTGTTCTCCATTTACTCTAGCAGTCCCATATTTTCTTATTCAAGGTGGAGCCAAATGAATATTTCATCGTTGGCTCGACCCGAAAGTTCCATCTTATTGACTTGGAGAAGAAGATAGAAGATTGGAAGCTTCGATTTCTCCAGGGGATCTGTGAAAATTGAGTATTACCATTAGGTTGACTAGGGGCCATACAAGAAGATAAAGGGCTTCTTCCTTGGCTCAAGGTCAAATCAGCCATTTCAGGCAAGCATATGTTGGCGATTCAATTCACGTGACTGTTAATCTGGTATTGAACCCCCACCAAGTACGACGCTATGACTTTTGTGCCATGAGCCGCCTCTAATGAGGCAGAGGAAAAGTGTCAAATTGATAAGGCAGTTTGGCTTTCAAAGAAAGACTTGAAGAAGTGAAATTGAGATCTCAAAGGAAAAATAATGACAAAAAATTTCCCCCATAAAAGGCAATAATGACCCAAGATCTGGGTCAATATCAACTCATGTGATAGGGCAACACTAACCTAGGAGATGGAGTAACATCAGCTTAGGTGATGGGGCAATACCCGCCCATAAGATAGGGCAACATCAGCCCAAGAGATGGTAGCCCATGAGATATGGAATCACCAGCCCCGGAGATAGGGAAACAACAACCGAAAATATGGGTTAACATCTGCTCAATAGATGAGGCAACACATTCCTGGGAGATGAGGCAACACCAGCTTAATATAGAAGGTAACAATAACATAAAAGGGACTCCGACCTGTGGATGAGATGGGTGCCTTCTCCCACTCTGAAAAGCCCTATTTATATGCCAAAATTCATAATTTTTGCACAAAAGGAAAATATTTCAAGGAATTCCATTTTAAAATTGTCTACGGGCGTGCAAGTGTGCACACTCAATGCCACATGTTTAGGTTGACCCAATTCTCTTCTTCGACCCACTCTGCCACATCTAAGCCCATGATGCCATTCCTTAATTGCCGATTTGCCACAACACGATGCATGACCTTCACTAACCTAGTCTATGTTTGTCGTCGCATGAATGAATTTCCTATCAAACTGTGTCATGCCACTAACTGTCAGCTGACTGCTATACCGCCCACTGCCTACTGTTATAATACAACTGTTGCCTGCCTCACACTGTCTACATGCTACTGTTGCTGCTCGCTTCTCTGAGCGCCAGTGATGCTAGTACAAACAAGTGATGCAAGCATGCTCACATGTGTACTAATTCATCCCTGAGTACTCAATTGTTTCTCAGCTTGCATTCATACTTGCTTCTCAAGCCCACTGCATTCTTAATGCATAATTACACTCATTTACTTGTATGAACAAACATAAACACTTGTGCATGCGTAACAACTTCTCCAGATGCTACCACTTCAATATATTCCTTACCGCAACAAAAGTGATGTTATCTGACCGCCATTATCTTCTTCAGATTACAACTGTCGAGTTGCCAACAACCATGATAACGCATACCTGATCCAAACTTATAGTTAATAGGAGTGTCTCAATGAGAGCAATCCAATGGGCCCAATCTCACTTAATTTTGAGGCTATTAATGCACTTAAATCATTAAAATACCCTTTTGATTAAGGGAGTTCAATGTGGACCGTCCAACCAGGAGTTATTTTCCAAATGACCAAAATGCCACCAGGCTATAATTATACCCTTTTCTTTACTTTGAGGGGGGAGGAGAATGAGTCGAATTATAGTGTTGTCTTGGACTAAAAACCTAACAAATAACTTCTGGCCTCCTTATCTGTCGACCATCGCCGACCACTTCGTCCAGACCGCCAGCCCGCAGTTGCCCATCACTAACCGTCGTCAACCACCGTCGATCACCCCTGCTCGTCGTAGTTGAATAATTCTGCTTGGTAATGAAGTATCATAATTGTGGTATAACAAATAATGTTCTATTGAAGATCAGACGATAATTTCTGACCCCCGTAATCGCTGACAAACATCCACCAACGCCCATCAACCATTTTATACCACTGTCGTCTGCAACTACTTGTTGTGATCGGTGAACCCTACTTGTTAATGTCATATTTTAAGTACAATGTAACAAATAACACTGTATTGAAGATTCGACAATAACTCTCGACAAAAAAAACTTGTATTCGTCATTATAGTGTTGTCTTGGACTAAAAACCTAACAAATAGCTTCTGGCCTCCGTATCTGTCGACCATCGCCGACCACTTCTCTTAGACCGCCGTTGACCATCACTAACCTTCGTCAACCGCCGTCGATCACCCCTGCTCGTCGTAGTTGAATAATTCTGCTTGGTAATGAAGTATCATAATTGTGGTATAACAAATAATGTTCTATTGAAGATCAGACGATAATTTCTGACCCCCGTAATCGCTGACAAACATCCACCAACGCCCATCAACCATTTTATACCACTGTCGTCTGCAACTACTTGTTGTGATCGGTGAACCCTACTTGTTAATGCCATATTTTAAGTACAATGTAACAAATAACACTGTATTGAAGATTCAACAATAACTCTCGACAAAAAAAAAAGCTTGTATTCGTCTTATTCAGAATACAACAACTTTCTCCATGCTCTAGAAGTTTCTTCTATATTGTAAACGAACAAGCTTGTATTTGGTGTAAGATTGTAATCCAGCTCTACAAATTATGGGAAAATGGTAAATCCATATCCTTACACATTTATAGTGAATTATTTCAACTAGGCTAAACCTCTTTATTTTTCCATGTCTAGGGTTAAAGACTTAAAAAATCTTGGCGTCTCATCCTGCTACTTTTAAATTCTATATGTGTGTTCACTCTTCATAATATATTAAATTATCACTGTACCTTCATGGATCTTTTGGCATAAAATTTCACTTATTTATATAATTATGAGTTCCACACGAGTACTATAAAATGTTCAACATATTAATATTAAAAGAAAGGTTTTTAGTATTATTATTTTAATAATAAAAGCTTATAAATTGCAAAATAAGGATTATGCCAGAGAACTAATTTCCTTTTGTTTAGCTCTATAATGTTTTAAAAGAAATAAAAAAACGTAAAAAACCTTAAAAGAATAGGTATGAAAGATAAACGGGGCCTTGACCTGTGAAGCCTAATAATAAAAGCTTATAAATTGCAAAATAAGGATTTAACAATATTATGCCAGCCTTAGAAAAATAGGTATGAAAGAAAAACGGGGCCTTGACCTCTGAAGCACTGTGTGCTGATCATTCAAAAGCAGACAATGCCCATTCCGGGGATAAAAAGCTGATCCAGATTCCCTTGCCCTTCGTCATTCTTTTGTCAAAAATAATGAATAGTTACCAGCCAGTGCTAGGTCTATCAAAAATATTTTGGCTGTTTGTATGAACTTAGTTTGGCTCAATAATTACTTGAATCTGATTGATTCTGATAAGCTCATTTATCTAGTCTAGTGAGTCAAAATAAAAAAGTAGAATTTTTTATGAAATGTACTAAATATTTAATTAACCTTTACATATCTATTCTCCTAAGCATAGAAAGTTTTATTTCTTAGAAAAAAAATATGTTTTTGGAATTAATTTTTATATGATTAGGCGATGTATTAGAAATAGAAACATTTTATATTTCTCAGCTGTTCATATTTGACTCCATGTGTCATGTAAATACTTTGTTTTGTTTATTTAACGAGTCGTGGAAAGTAACTGCTGAGCTGAGGCAAGCTCAGAATTATTAACACCTAGCAGTTGCTATCGACGAGGCCCGCAACTGGCTCGCGCGCGCGCGCAGAGGGACACCGGCGAGAACCAGAAAGGGGGCCCTACCCCGCCGATAAACAGCTAGCGGGTTCTGGCATGACCGCCGTCCCAACCCTTCACCGCAGCTCTGGAGTGAAGAGAGGGAAAGAAAGCAGGAGAATATTGGTGTTGCTTGCCTTGTCTGCAAGCTTGGAGAGAAGCTTCAAGTAGTTCAAGGGAGATCCAAAGCGCTCGTCTTTCTTCTCTTTGCTCTTGAGAGGTACCTTTTACTCCCCCTCCCCCCCTCCAGATCGTTTCTGTTAAGTATGATTTTTAACTTATTGATTTTTCTTCCTCCTTGAATGTTTCTCGATTCCTGTTTGAAGATAGAGTAGGTTTGAGGATGTTATATTTAGTTTGATTAATAATGAGGTCTGGAATAAATAGGGAGTTAAAAATGGGAGTAGGGGTTGATTTGTTCTTGTATGAGTTACTTTAAGGATGGGAACCCCAAACAGGGCTTAGCACACCTTTTCCTTTTTCTAGTAAGAAGCAAAGATGGGGCTTCTTCTGGATTCAGCATTACTTGACTTTGTAGGTTCTTCAGGAAATTTGCAAGAATTGCAGGTTTAATGCTTCTGAATCATTGCTTTGATTTTCTTAATATTTCTATGGTGTTATATTTGTCTCATCACTATTTTAGCAGATAAATCTTGCCGATTGATTTAACAAATCATACAAAAGAATCTTCTCAGAAAGATGCGAAGATGAAGCAGTATTTACATATATAACTTGTCTGAGGAGGTGCATCAGACATTTGTACTCATCATGCATTCCATCTTGTACGCTGAACCTGGCAAAGATGGAGAAGCCTCTGGATTAGATTGTGAGACGCCAGTTAAAAAGGTTTCAGTTCAGTCACAACTGCCTTCGAAATTTTTTAATGAGAGAGTTGCAACTCCCAGGGTTAGATGTGCATTTTTTGATGATGAAGCCAGGCCCTTGAATTATAGGAAGCCCTCTGTTAAGCCTTGTTCTGATCATCATACCACAGAAACTGAGGTCCTGGTTTCAGCGTCTTCATCTGGAAATTTTCAGAAGCCATGGCCAAGCAGAAAGGTAGCTGAAGTAGAAGAGCTGGTTAAGTACATGTCAAGCGTTCCATGTTATCTCCAGAGTGTAGAGAAGGGAGAAAATGTCCAGGGAAAGGCACTAAATTTTGGTGTTATTGATTGGAGGCAACTTGAGAGATGGACTAGCAGCAAAAAGACCGCTCAGAGAAATGAGGCTTCTTCTGCCATAAATATGGCGGAGTCTCCATCTCTTCTCACAAATCAATCTTGCTCAAATTCTGGTAGAAACAATAGCAACTCTCCAGCTCAAGGAAAACAAGCCCCTTGTAGAAGCAGTAGCAACTCAACTGTTGAAGGGAAGCAAACTTTTTCTTTGTTTGGTCATTGGGACCAGCCTGACGAGCAAAAAAAGCATGAAGACAGAACTTCCATGCAGGCTGACACAAGTAGCTCGATAGAAGAAGAGAAGTCTAAAAGCTGTGATCATCAAAATTCTAATCGTGTTAGGGGCTACTCTGGTAGGACGTTTGAAAGGAGCCTTTCGGAGCATGGATGTGATTTTGATGATCTTAAAGGGAGTAGATGTGTAAAAGGTAATACTTTGTCCTCAATGCATGGTGGTAAAACGGCAATGGAAGTTAAAAAACATCCGCAAAGATTTTCGCACCAAAGCAGTGCAGCTCGTGACATTCTACAGTCTGGTTTTCTCTCTGCTACGTTCCAAACTGACAAGTCTAATATGGGTGCTACTGCTCTTCCGCTGGAGAATGGGGTCCCTTCCGCTAAATATATGTCCGTAAATGAGGAATGTAACCAGATCAGCAAATCGTCAGGAAATTTTCTGTTAAGCCCAGTTTATCAATCATGTGATCAGAATGCGGATGGAGGAAGAAGAGAGACTTTGCCAAAGAAGCATTCCTCTGATTCTGGTATGAAATGGCTGAACCGTAGCTCTAGTTTGAAAGACGTGTCATCAAACCACCAGCATAAAGATATCAATGGTTTAATTATTTCTGATGATAAAGGAAGAAGCAACAGCAGAGGCAGACGAAGCCCACTGAGGAGATTACTAGATCCACTTCTCAAGTCCAAATATGATGGTTATTCTGGGCCAATTACAAGCTCGCGAATTCCCATATCCCAAGAAAATCATAATAACCAAAGTGTTTCAGCTGGAAAGGAATCTTCCTCGCTGAAATCAATGCATAGATTATCTGATACTTCCAATACCAAGATGCCTATTACCCCCCAGAGTTTGCTTCAGGATGAGAGGAATGTTGTGCCAATGAGGCAAGCTCTAGTAAAGCTGGCTTGGAAGAATGGACAACCCCTGTTTATGTTCTCAACCAGTGAGAACAGTGTACTTGTAGCCTCTTTGAAAAGAACAAATAGATTGGGCAAGGAAGATTGTAGTGGTGTTTATAAAATAGTTATGGCACAAGAATCTAAGAAGAAAGGGGGGATCTGGATTGGCCATGGCGGGAGTAGAAAACCGAGTTTGCTTTATGAAGTTGTTGGACGTTTGGAAGTTTCATGCTCCAAGCTGTGTAGTTTTGATTCTAAGAGTTTTGAGGTTTCCAAACAGTTTGTTTTGGTTAATGAGGAGCTCTTACCAAACCAAGGATGTGTCAATTCTACGCACACTAATCAACTTGTTGCCATAGTTGTTAAAGCTCCATATCAGATGCTGAATGGTTTCTTGTATAAGCGCTCTTCTCTCCAGATAGATAGTTTACAGGTAGAGAAATTTCCTGAATATTCAAGAGCATGCAGTATCTCGGCTATTGTCCCCAGCGGGATTCATGGTTTCTCAGACTTAGGAACTCCATCAGCTCTAATTGAAAGATGGAAAACTGGAGGCTCTTGTGATTGTGTAGGATGGGATGAGGGTTGCAGGCTTACAGTTCTTGCTGACAGGCTTCATGAGATGAAGGTTGCAAGTTCAGTCCAAGAACGCCCAACGACTGAATGTTTTCGTTGCATTGAATTGTTCATCCAGGTATGCTCTTAGATTGATATTTTTCCAAATTTACTATTTTGAAATTTTAATGTTTACATATGCAATAATTTGCTCATTGTCAGGGAGGGAAAAAAGAAAAAAAGCATGCTTTTAGCATGATAGCTTTCAAAGAGGGTCTTTACACGGTCGAGTTTGGTTCGATGATTACTTCATTGCAGGCTTTTGCAATTTGCATTGCTACCCTGCACAGCAGAACTTCTATTGATGCGTTGGATTACTCTGCCAAACGCAGAAGCCTGGAGGATGCCATATATGAGAACTATTCCAAGATGAGCTCTATGCAAAACAATGGAGGCTCAACAAGCTATGAACCTCACCATCCACCTTTTTCTCCTGTTGGTAGATCTTAGCTGCCTTTGGTAATCTGCTCTCAGTCCTTGCGATCGATCTTATCTTTCTGAATTTCTTGATTGGTGGACATTAAACTCTCCTTCCTGTTTGTACAAATTTTGCAAGCAGTAGTGGAGTCTTAATGTCTTTAGAAATAACTATATATAAACATTTGATGTCTAAGAGCATGTTCAAGCAAGCTGTTTATTACTTTCTGAAGAATGTATAAAATCGGTACATTAGTATGTTTAGCCACTTGGTTATTGAGGCCATTACTGAAATAGGAAGGTAAGAATGTATAAAATTGTTACACTAGTATGTTTAGCCATTTGGTTATTGAGGACATTACTGAAATAGGAAGGCAAAGTTGTAGCTTGTACCAAATTATCTTCTGCAGGATAATTATTCCGTCTATTGAGCTATGGTTTCCTCATGTAGTTATCTTTGGAAACTATTTAATTATTAATTAAATTAAAGTGGAAAGTTTTTTATTGTTAATAAAAAAAAAATCGCTAAAATGGCATATGATTATATACTATATCTTCATATATAAATGCATCTCTAGTTGAAATTTAAATGAATTTAAACTGTATAAAAATAATTTTTTTGAAACCCAAAATTAAATTGCCTATTATATTTAAATTAGATTGATGGCTATGGTTTTGCCTTTCTCAAGCACCTAGAAAAACACACAGGATTTTGGTCCCTTTTGCCCAAGTTGATCGAGAGTTGAGTTATTTTGGTTTCTTACTTTGTAGGGATTCTTTAGATAAATATTCTTATTGAGTTTCTTAGGGGCACTAAGGGCTACACAAGGATGGCCTTTTTTTTTAATCCATGACCATGGACTAATTTTTTTTTAATTAACCTAATGTTCAAGAATAAAGCTTGTATTGCTGTAATTACTCAATCTAACAGATCTCTCGCCATGATTGAGTTGAGTTGTAAAGAACATTCTTCTAGATTGGTCTAAGATGGTATGGGTTACTCTAGAGACCAATATCCAAACTTGAATTGAGCTTTGATAGTGGGTGGAGTTGGCCCAAGGCCCCGAATGGAAGGGAGGGACTTTGGAGGATTCTCTAGAAATCACGTATGAACAAAATTTCTTCCGAGCAATAGCGTTGGCTCCTTTGCTTAATAGATCAAAATAAGGCTAAGATTATAGTTAACTATGGTTTAACTTGGTGCGATAGTTGGCAAATGATTGATAATTAGAGTGGAGGATGGGGTGATGCCAAGGATCTTTAAAAGTACAATTCTTGAAGCTATTTGTGGAGTAATCCTATTGGTTTGATGTCATCACGCTAATCCATGATTAGCCCCACGATAATTATAGTTAATTACTTTTAAATGGATTTATCTTTTTTTAGGTGCTTGGATAAGGTTTTAGATGTTTATTGGAATGGATTAATCAAATCAATTCGTCAATTAAATAGAATTTAGCTCAATTTGACTCATATTATATCAACATATTTGGGCTAGGTTGGTCATTTTGACCAAATTTGCTCAAACCATGAGTTGGGATGCATAAATCTTTTTATTTAGCTCACAACCAAGCTAATTAAGATTCATAAGCCATTTTTAATACAATTTTGAATTTCAGTGTTAAATACAATTGTAAGGTGTACGTTTCTAAACGAGTCAAATTTGACTAATTTTGACTAATTTGGTCATGGTTAGCCAAATATTTGATTCAAAGGCCCTGATCATGGTCAAGCCAAATCAATGTTGTTCAATTAAAGATTCATTTTTATTTGGTTGAATTAATTCAGTTTTTAATGTAAATATAATATAATTAACCCATTTATGTTTCATCACTAAATATGTCCCAAGTTATTCTATTGAAATTATATCCTGATTCTCGGGAAAAGTCCGCCGTCAGCAGCATCGAGGGTGCCATCGGCGGTTTGAAATTATATCCTGATTCTCGGGAAAAGTCCGCCATCAGCAGCGTCGAGGGTGTCGTCGGCGGCACCGAGGGCGCCGTCGGTGGGCTCTATTGATTTGGTTCAATTCTCAGATTTTTTGCAATTTCGATCAATGTCAAGCCTCAACGACATCCGTTGAATCATTATAGACATAATTTTAAGTGATTAAATGATGTACTTATCACAAATAAACTTTCACAACATAAAACATCACAATTATATATAAACTCCAAGAGTTACAATATATGTTACATAACACACCAAAGTTTGGTATTTTCTCAACCTCAATACATTAATTCAGTGTCGCAATCCAAGCCACAACACTCAAAATGCTGAAAATAAAACATCCTATGCTTAGTCCCAACTATACAAAGATCTAAAAGCATAATTCTAAAGCAAAGAAAATGCAAAGTTCAAATCAAATTACATATATTGACAAACAGGTAGCAATATAAATCTACGATTCTTCAGATTCAGTACTAGATTCTCCTCTGAG